GAGACCCTATTCAAGGATTTACTGGATGCCTACCACGTATCGTGCAAACCCTCAAGAACAAAGAAGAGGTCCAAGCCACGCTGGTGGATCCGAGATCTTTCTCTCCAAAGGAACAACCTCAAGCCAGCGAAGAGATCGTCAATAAGGAATACAAAATACTACTTAAGAGCTACATGAAAGAAATACGCAAGACACAATGAAACTCGTGGAGGAACTTCTGCTCCAATATCGAGAAAGTGCCCGAAACCGCTAGGCTCCGGAAGCTGCTTTCAAAACAGCCCACAGTATAGAGCCAACTAAAACTAGAAAACGGACAGTGGACAGAAGGCAGTAAAGAACCCCTAACAGCACTAATGGAGGCGCACTTCCCTGGATGCAACGAGGTCACTGACGCCAAGGAGCATCAGGACCTGGCAACCGAGAAACAGCACCCCCCAACAGGTCTGTTAACCACTAAAAGAATCCACTGGGCCATAGACTCCTTCGCGGCCATAAAAGCACCAGAACTGGACGGGATATTCCCAGCCATGATGCAGTTGACCAAGGAGGTGATCGACCCATTACTCTTCGCAAAATACTCAGCATGCCTAAGTACGGGCTATATCACTGTACAATGGAGAACCTCGAGAGTTGTCTTCCTCCGAAAGGCAGGAAAGTGCAGCCATGTGAGTCCCAAGGATTACAGACCGATAAGCCTTACCTCCTTTATACTAAAAACACTAGAAAGGTTGTTGGATTTACACATCAGGAATGAGGTATGGGGACTGATGTCAACAAACCAACACGCCTACTCCACCATCGAGAGCGCCCTTCACAATAAAAAGTATGCACTGGGGGCAGTAGTTGACACCTCCGGAGCATTCAACAACGTGGCCACAACCGCAATAACAAGTCGCCTAGAAGCGAATAACATCCAGCAAACATCCAGCAATCAACGTTTGGATCAAAAACCTCCTATGTTGTAGACGGGTGCAATCGGAGTGGGGCACCGCTTCCAGGGTTAAGACGGCACACAGAGGCACACCTCAGGGTGGAGTCCTGTCGCCACTACTGTGGAAAATGGTGGTCGACGAGATTTGAGAGGAAGGCCCCAAAGATAACAGCCTATGCAGATGACATAAGCATTCTTATTACGGGTGTATGTCCATCGACCCTCAGCTCCTTAATGGAACGTACACTCAGGGAGATACATGAGTGGCCGGAAGATGTAGGACTCAGTATCAACGCGGACAAGACGGACCTCACCCTCTTTACCAAGATGTACAAGGTACCGATATGGCCACTAATTACATGACCCCCCAAACTTTCCCCGACATCAAAACTATCTCATCTCTGGGACCCGAAGACTGGAAAAAGGGAAGGGACCAAGATAAGCACCTCAACATATATACGGTAGGCTCCAAGATGGACGGAGGAATAGGAGCGGGCTTATTCTGCCTGAGACCCTGAGATACTGAGAGACCCTGTCGTATAAGCTACCGGACCAATGCAGCATATTTCAGGCGGAAGTTTTCGCCATCCGGAAAGCAGCAGAGGTCGCTCATCTTATAGAGCGAGCACAAGACGCGGTCAATCTATTCGTCGACGGTCAAGCGGCGGTCCGTGGTCAGTTCCAGAAGTGTCTTGGCGAGCAGGGAGGCACTAGATACCCTAAGCACGACAAAGTCAGTGCGGATCTATTGGGTTCCCAGCCACCAAGGCATCGAAGGAAACGAGGCGGCGGACGTACTAGCTAAGGAAGGCGTCGGGCTGGAGAATAGGAGAACCGAGAACGTGCCTGTCTCCCTTAGAACGCTGCAAAGCGATCTAGAGAAGCAGGCTAGATCCCAAAGTGACAACAATGTTGTAAGATATTTCAGCAAAGGGCGGAGAATGTAGGAGCAAAAAAAAACAACCGGCTTAAGCAAGAGCTAGAAGCGAATCGAATGAGAATGCCAATTTTTTTTAGACTGCAGAATCTGAACCAGATCGTATGAAATTTTTTTCTTCATTCTGGTTATAATAATGATAACCAGAATGAAGAAAAAAATTTCATTTTCGCTCTTTCTATCCACACTCCTGAGATATCGAACCTGCATATCGAACAAGTGCATTTCAAAAGTTCGCCCCACCCTCTTCCGCCCCCACAAAGGACGAAAATCTGTGGCATCCACAGATCTCAGAGACAATAAAAACTAGAGCAACCAAAGTTGGTATCCACACTCCTGTTGCATCTCACTGTTACAGGTTTATTTCAAAATTTCGTACCAATCCCCCCCACCCCAAACAAACACAAAACTAATATGTATATCGCTAGAGTCTTCGATTACCGGGTATGAAAAAATCTCAATGAATTTCAAGAATATTTTTTTTTAATGTCAAGTCAAAGTTTTAAAATAACCCAGCACTGAGATATACTAATACACCAAAATATCAATCGGCAAATATGTAGTTATTCTTTAAAAACATTAAAATTGTTAGATATTACTTCTAAAAATAAAAAATTTAGACAAAGTTTTATAAGAAAAATAGTTTTTTTTTAAATTTAAAAATTATGTTCGATTTAAATTTAAATATAAAATTTGTATGTAGATCGAAAATGACAATTAAACGTTTTTTATCGATCCAAAAACATAAACAAATTTTATTTATACCGACAAATATGCACCGGAACAAAGTTTAACTTTAGCTCATAATTTTAAAGCTTCTAGACATCGTAGCACCATGTACTTGTGCCAGATTTCAAATTGGGCTTATTTCATGAAGATATCTTACACCCAAGTCTATTTCGTTCCGATGTTGTTCATTCAGCAAGCTGAAATCGCCAAAGTACCCACTATGCGGCGCTAGAATGCTTGGCGCGTTTTTGTAAACATATGTAAACATTTTTTTGTTCATCCTGCTCAAGAATAAAAATACATACATACATATGTACATAAAGGGTGCGCCATCTTTTAGTACGGTATGGAAACATCGAATAACTTTAAAAAAAAGACAACCGATTTTCAAAAGGCGGCCACTTAATTGATATTGTTTACCAAAAATTAGTCTAAATATATTGTAAAGAACCAAACCAAATAAAAATACCTCACTTATGAAAATCGGTTTTTTTTTTTTAAATGTTATTCGATGTTTCCATACCGTACTACAAGATGGCGCACCCTGTCCTTTTATCGTAAATTGTCTTTTCAGTGCTTCTTCTGAACAAGTAATAAAATGTAATAAAACTGAATTGCGTGAAAAATAAAGATGAAAATTCAGGATTTAATTTGTATTACAATTTTATTTCTATTGTTCTTTGTATTTTGTATTTTTATATTATACATAAGTTTAACTTGTTTGTTTTTGTTTGTGTTGCTTATACAAAAAACTTTTCTTTTATACATATGTATACAAAAGATGTTCTATTAATACACACTTTTTGTATGACTTAAACAATGACTATTGTATAGGTGAGGTTAAAAGCAATCACAAAATTTTTAATTAGGTTAAAAATATATTTTTAATTTATATGAAAACAATATCAATCATTCTAACAAAGTAACTACATACATATATGGCAAAGTAGTCCAGCTAGAATGACTGAGCTATGAAGAAACATTAAGTTTATGCAATGTTGATTTATTATCTTTCAAAAATAGTACAAATAAAATATATTTTAGCATGATTTTCATGCTTATGATATTTTAATTCAATCGTGATCTGATGTGGCAAACTTTTTATGGAACATATAAAGTAGCAGTTTTTAATTGGTTGGATTATTTTTAGAAATATTAAAAAACCAAGATATGGATATAAATAAAGAAAATATCTACTTTAAAGGATCGCATCTCTTTTATTTTGTCGTGTAAGATAATAATATAAACGTATAACAACGAAGATTATTTCTTGCCCACGATTCAGTTAATTAATTTAAAGTTAACCACTGCAAATTAAAGGATTACCGCTTTTCTAACCACTTTCTGGCAACGACAAGACAAGAGATATCAAGGATATCAGAGAAATTTTATTGGTTGGATCTTGGTTATTTCGTTTTTTAATAATTATCCGACCTCAAATATTTTGAAAGACTGGTAGATTGCATCAATGTATGTACATATGTATGTTATTGTGAGCAGTAAAAGTTTCATATCTTTGAAGTTGATACCACAGAGTTTTCAAAAATTTCAATGTCAAAGAATATTATCACCATATTTGGTTATTTTAGCCTTTATAGTCTCCGAGAGTCCGATAACAGAAGGTCGGAAGTCGAGTCTCGGAAACCAATAAAAGTGAGGAACAATTATTAAACTATTTTAATAAGTTATCGATTTGTTTTAAAGAACCACTGTTTTCATATTTTTTTAACTAGGTGGTGGTTTGTATGCAAAATAAGCGTAATACCCTTTAATTGTTTTCCTGTGAATTTACAAAAGTTTCCGTGTTTCATTGTTTACCAATTTTGTCATTTAAGGTATTCAAAGTATTTATCTTATATTAAAAATAAACTTCGCGCATAAATTTGTTCTTTACTATTTGTTTTTTTTTTTATAAAAAAAACGTTTTTGTTAGCTTTCTAATGCTGTTTGTACTTCAACATTTTTTACATTTTTTCCAAACAAAATTGTATTTAATTGCAAAAAAATTTAACATGGCAAGCATTCTGACATTAAGGTTCTGTAGATAAATATAAGAAATACCATCTTTGTATTTTACAAAAACCCGAATTTATTTATTTCACCTTTTTTAAAAACCAAAAACTATACCTGATGAGCGCTCAACTAGATTAAGTGTTTTATAAAGTTATACATAACACATTTACATAATTACATTTTAGATTAATTTGCAACTAATTTAATTTTCCGAATTTAAGATTAACAAAATAACTTATATAAATGAAGTTTTTTGTGTTTGTAAATACTCTTGTAAATACCATTAAAGTATTTAGTTTGCTCGCTGTTTTTCTCATGAGCTTGATAATTTATAATTTATTCATGAAATGGTAAGAATTATGAGTATAACCATTTACATACATATCATCAGTTAACTCATGAGTGTGGTATAATCAAGTTATGAAACGAAGACAGACATAAAATGAATAACAGTAGACAATAGAAGATGATTGCATATAATATGAAAATTCAAGAAGTAGTCGTCATTGTAAATGCACTAACTAAAAAATAAGTCTTTATTATTATTCACTTCAATTATGCATAACGAGATTTTTAAATATTAACCAAAGCGAAACTGAATGCTAACACTAAAAACATTTAAATTCAGGAAGCAGCTGGAAAGCCTTGATAGCAATGTATAATGCGATTAGCGTATGTTGTTTTTTAAACACATACAATAATTTATATTGTATTTAAATTGATGTTCTTGGTTGAAATTTTGCTGTGTTTACCACATGGCTATCTTTAACATGGCGTGCGTTTTGTTGTATGAGGAATATAAGAAGCCAAAAAAAAACTCATAGGCATTCGTTTTCTTTATCAGCAGTCATACAAATCTTATGTTTTCCATACCATCAACCTGACATATAGCACAAAACAAAGCGTTTACAAAACCTCATTCTCAATTCAAATATGCATTAATGTCAGGCTAAACAAAGGTAAGCAGCATGGTTAGATCATATGTAATTGGTGCTGCTCGCTCAGTGCGAAAGTCGACGCATCGCTAAGGATATGGAAAGGCACACCAGCCGCTGTTGTGCCAATTTCTAGGGACGGTAAATTAGAAGTTGCCGTTACCGCCGCTGGACTATTGCTTCCACTTGCGTTTTTATTGCCGCTCTTTAGTACGGTATCTAAAGGTGTATTTTGAGACAGGTGATGAGCTGTGCCAGAATTTGGAGTCAAAAGCGTACCTGCATTCGCTGTTGTAAATAAATTTCCCGCATGAGAGGCTCCACGTCCGCGTTTTCGCTTCGGAAGAATGCCTTTTCGTGCCATATAGAAACGAATGGTTGAGACAGGTATATTGAACATATTGCTGACTGTTTGGAATGTCTCGCCCTTTGAAACGCATTTAGCCGCTTGTGCTAAAGAGGCCTCCGAACGTCGAACACGCTTATATGAGGTGTAACTATCGATTGAGCTATGCATGAGGCCTACCGATATGTTGCCAGGAGTATCTGCGTCGAAAATTTGGGGAAGGCCACTCCCACTGCTTGCAATACGGGCTACGCTGCTTTCATTGTCATCATCGTGAGCAGCTACATAGTTGTGATCGTCTTCGATGGTGGAGTCCAAATTATGTGGCTGATGCTTTCGGTGCTGCTGGGACCTATAAAATAAAATATGTAAATTTGAATGAAATTTGTTTTCATAAAAAAATTGTATTTAGGTGTAATGTCTATTGTACATATATAAGTTAACCACCGACACTGGGCGTGTGCTGACCTAGCATATCAGCGAGGTCCACGACCAGAGTCACAGGTTTGGCGGATGCAGCTGCAGTAATTCAACACCACCCACAAGGCGAAAGTCAGCGGTTCCCACGGGTGCCGAACAGCTGCCAGCGACGTTGAAGTTCTTGGAAGGGCGGCGACCGCTCTGCAGTGACGGCAGCGCCGCGGCAGCACTGTCCGCGAAGCCGGCTGCAATCATAGCTTTTAATTTCATTAATAATTAGTCTTAAGTATCGCTCGCCTTGATCAATTAATTCTCATTCATAATATTCGGTCAGCTACCGCTACCGAGTTCAATAACTATCATAACTCCAATGTTTGATACCACTCAGCTAGCTAACGCTTCTGAGGAATTGTTAACTTAACATAATCAATAAAAATACCTAATAACAGCATACTCGTTGTGTTCTGGTGTAATTTAATAATTTATACATATATGTACATAAATAAATTAATCCGATCACACGAATTCTTTATTTATGAACTACGTGCGTCGACACTATGGATACACATCCCACATATAAGGGATCTTCCAAAGATGCGATATCTGTCGGCAGCATCCGGGACAAGAAGGTGGCGACACGAACCGGCAAAGGGGATGCGTAATGGTCCAACAAATATCTCCTCTCCAGACGCCAACCTGATGACAATTATAATGCCTCAAAGCAATCGTACATCAAGCAAAAGGAGTATAGCGTGAGGCTTGCTACATCGCCACTGGAAATGGCGAAAAAGTCCCGGGAATGGCTCCATAAAACGGTAATCAAATCTATTTATGTTGCGTGACCTTCCATCCATGGCCACAATTATTAGTTATAGATGGAATTATGAATTATGAAGTCTAGTGTAAGTTAGGCTAGGGCAAAGCGGGAGCGCAATAAAAGCTCGCTCTCTCGCTCTTGGCGAATTCGCCCCGCTTTGCCACCGTAGGATAGCTAGAATAAGAGATTTGAATTGTGAAGAAAATATAGTTGTTCGCCAACCTTGAAATAGATCGAGCGTATCAAGTTTTTCGCCCCGCCAAATAAATAATTTAAATTACAGCCACCCAAAGTTTTCGGTAACTGATTAGAAAAACTCTTCTAATTTTTCATGGCGCCCCCGGGTGGACTGTAAAGTGAATTATAGGCAACAAAAAACAAGTGACAGTGACACAAGAAATTGCAGTATACATATGCAAACATATTCGTTGCCCGCGTCGTGTGTGTGTGCAATCGGCAATCAATTTTTGTAAAATATCATCGCGTCGGTCGCGCCAACAATAATTTTTGTGCAATTCTGCTACCGCCGAGGGATGCCCTGCGAAAAAGACAGGAAAGTAGCAGTTGGATTCAAAAATCCAAAAGAGGAATCAGAGGTATTTGTGCAGAAAATAGAAGGCTGAGCAAAAGACATTCAGATCTCTCTTTGAGGTGTCTTGTGCTGAAAACATTGCACATCGCCTTCAATTCTAGGCACAGACGTATGATACATATATAGTAGAGCTTGATTGCATGCATTTTGTTAGTAATTGCATAAATATAACTAAAAACATAAATACATACATACATATCGACACAAACAGACATACATATGTGAACCGCTATTTGGACGCAACAGTTATATGTACATACATACATACATCTTTCGTTTACTGCAATCACTGTCGCCCCTCCCCCCCCTCCCCCCCCCCCCCCCCCCCACCATTTTATTTTGTTCTACATTTCTCGTCGTTAGAACCTCTCAAAGTTTGTTCGTTCGTTCACCCAAGCCACGGCGTATAGAAAATATCCACACATACATACAAGCAGCAGCACCGGTGCATTATTTCGTTTTCGCTTTCGCTTCTCCACTGCTGCTTGCGTTGTATTTGTTGGGAGAATTTTCGTTGCCGCTCTTGAGCTTAACGGTGCGCCAAGTGACACGCTACCCTACATCCAACGGGTATATTGTTTTCGGCTGTTACTTGCCAAGTGACGCGCTACCCTGCATCCAACGGGTATATTGTTTTCGGCTGTTACTTGCCAAGTGACGCGCTACCCTGTATCTAACGGGTATATTGTTTTCGGCTGTTACTTGCAACAACTCTTTCCCTTGATACCTCGTGCCTCGACATTCAATTAAAATTCGTTTTCGATTATCGTTCTCGTTCAAAAATTTAAAATTTAAAAAAAAAAAAAAAATAAATAAAAATAATAATAATAAATAAATAAATAAAAACACAACCATTATGGCAGAAAAAAGTAAACCCACTCTTGAAGACTTAAAGATTAAGCTCAAAAGTAGAGTAAAAAGCATTCGCCGCTTAGAGGATCGATTAGATCAAGGGTCGATTCCTTTGCAATTACCGGAATTACAATGTAGATTAGATTGTTTGAATGCTTCAATTGAAAAGGCTAACCATTTGCAGGAGCAAATCGAGGATATAACAGGTGATGATGCATATGCAGCCGAGTTGGAAGAGCTGATAATTGTCACCAAAGGAAAGATAATGTCGCTTATCGCCGCCTTTGATGCAGCAAGCGAGACGAAGCCAGTGTCTTCTTCAGCCCCAACTCATGCTAGACTTCCGAAATTGGCATTACCCAAATTTAGTGGTAAACACTCGGAATTGAAAAATTTCATTAGCCTTTTTGAAAGACTAGTCCATAGCGACAACAGCATACCGGTGATCGAAAAATTTAATCATTTGATTTCGTGCCTCTCTGATGAAGCATTAGGAACAATAAAGGCGTTCCAAGTCACCGAGGCAAATTATGAAAAGGCCATGGCTGGCCTAAAACGAGTGTATGACAACGATTATTTGATTTTCACGAATAATATTTCCACATTGTTCAATCTGCCGAGAATGTCGCATCAATCTGCATCATCTCTAAGAACTCTAATCGATACTGTTTCGTCGATTTACGGATCGTTACTGTCGATCGGAGATGATACAACAATTTCGAATGCAATGCTCATTCATCTCGTTTTAAACAGAGTCGACCCAGTGACGAAACAAAAGTGGGATGAACAGCTTACTTATGAGAAGTTGCCGCTTTGGTCCGACTTTGAGAAAGTCTTGAATCGTCGATACCAGCATCTGTCTGCTGAAGAATCGACCAAGCCAAGGCAAGACAAAGTCATGCCAAGCAAGCAACATAATCGCAGTTCATTTGCTTGTTCTTCCACTTCCACCAACAGTAGAACTCAGCAAACTTGTAGCTACTGCAATTCAGGAGACCATGTAGTGTCAAATTGCCCTTCATTTTCGCGTCTCTCGGTGATGCAAAGGTTTGAGTTTGCTAAGTCGGCATCCCTATGCATTAATTGTCTGCGAAAAGGCCACGCTGTTGTAAAATGCAAAGCCAATAAATGTCGAGTGTGCAGCCGCTCACATCATACATTATTGCATCGATACACAGTGTCGGCTAATAGTCTCGCGTTGCCACCACCCCAAGAGAGTCCTTCTCCTCCATCAAATCAGAATCAACCTTCCACGTCACATGTTTTGCATGCGACAGCGTTGGACAGGGTAATTCTGGCTACGTCGATCGTAAGCGTCCGAACTAAGAGCGGTGAACACATTCTGGCCAGAGCTCTGCTCGACTCTGGATCACAAACAAATTTCATTACCGAGGACCTCGCTAATCGCTTACAGATCCGTAGAGAGGAGTCCTGTATTAACTTGCTTGGAATTGGTGAATCTAATTCTCAAGTAAAGGATAAAATACACACAGTGGTGAAGTCGCGAATAAATGGTAGTGAGTTCTCCTTTGATTTTTGGATCCTGAAATCAATTTCAGGTTATCACCTTGACCAGTCAGTAAATGTGACTGACTGGCGAATCCCAGAGAACCTACCACTGGCAGACCCTTATTTCTACAAGCCACAAAGAATAGATATGTTAATTGGAGCAGAATCGTTCTTTGAATTATTAGCTGTTGGTCAAATTAAACAAGGTCCTGACTTTCCAACTCTTCAGAAAACCCTTCTTGGTTGGGTTGTGTCGGGAAAATATGTTTCCAGGAGTTCTGCTCCTCAAATTACAAGCAGTTTGAGTTGCAGTGAAGAGTTGCTAGTATCCATCGATAGGACCTTGAAAAAGTTTTGGTCACTGGAAGAAATGCCATCTACCAAGAAAATTGCCACACCTGAGCACAAGCTATGTGAAGAACACTATCGTAAGACGACTCAGGTACTATCATCAGGTCGGTTCGAAGTAAGGCTCCCGTTTAAATCAGATCCAAATTGTTTAGGCAACTCTTTTGAGGTTGCGAAACGGCGGTTTTTGTCGCTTGAAAGACGATTGCATCGTGACCCTGAGTTGAAGAAAATGTACTTGGAATTCATGGAAGAGTACCTCTCCCTAGGTCATATGTCTCCTACTGACAATACGATTCCGTCTAATCCACACTACGTAATCCCTCATCAGTGTGTTCTGAGGCCCCAAAGTACGTCTACCAAGCTCCGAGTCGTGTTCGATGCTTCGTCCAAGACGTCCTCACAGGTGGCCTTAAATGACATTCTGATGGTGGGACCTACCATTCAAGAGGAATTATACTCGACACTGCTCCGTTTCCGTCTGCACAGGTTTGCCCTGACTGCTGATGTTAAAAAGATGTATCGCCAAGTGATGGTGAACGAAGCGGATCGGCAGTTTCAGCTCATAGTGTGGAGAAGAGACCCTTCTGAATCCTTGAGATTATACAAGCTCAACACTGTAACCTATGGGACTGGACCAGCCCCATTCTTAGCTATCCGGTGTTTGAAAAGGTTGAGTGAGTCTGCGAAGCTCTCATTCCCTAGAGCTGCTAACGTTATTGGGTCCGACTTTTACGTCGATGACTTGTTGACTGGTGCTGCATGCGTAGAGGAGCTAAGGGCAATTAAGTCCGAAGTGTCTCAGGTTCTTCAG